GAGTATATATTGTAGGCTTTGTGGGTGAGACCACCTCTGTTGCAAATTGAACTCAACTCTGCACAGTACAAGAGCACTCACAGACAGTATGCAAATGACGGGCCCGGGCTGTATTCCAGTAAAACTTTATTTACAAAAACAGGTAATAGTTCAGATTTGAGGGCTGTAGTTTGCTGACCCCGTGCTAGATCTAGGAAACTGGATGGAAGAGTACCACTAGGAGACTAGCCTGCGCAGTGCACAAAGGGCCCTGCTCACATCAGACACCTTTCCTGCAGGTGTGTTCTGGATGCTTCCTCCCTGCTCTTCTGAAGACTTTGCCCCACCATTGAGCCTTGCCGACCCTGATTCTTTGACCTCTCCCTCTCTACTGGGTCATTGGCATTATCATTCAAAAATTTCTAGTATGTTCCATCTTGGAACAAATAAAAGATGTTCATTTGGTTCCGCACCCTCCTTAAGCCACCTGTTTATCTCAGCACTCTCCTTCATGGTGCTCTGTCCTTCTGGATCTCTTCCTAGCTCTCTGGCCACCCCTTGGCCATTTTCACCTCCTTTTCTTGTAACCAACCTGCCTGTTCTTCTGTGAGTCTGCCTGACTCCCCAAATTTTACACCCCCCTCAACCCCACCAACTTCTCTAAGTCCCAGACTTGTGGCCCAGGTACACCTTGGGTGTCATCACTGAGATATCTCACGGGTATCTCAAGGCTGGCATGTTCTAAATGCGTTGTCATTTTCTCCCAGAAACGTGTCCCTACTCTTGTGCTTCCTGTGCTCACCCAGTGGACTCTCCATCCTTCCCTGTCCTAAGCCTGAGATCTGCAAGTCATTCTTTGATCTAGAATCATTCTTTTTTTGTCCTCCAGAATTAAAGGTAAAATTACAAAGAGTAAAGTTTATCTATCTGATGTATACAGTTTGATTCGTTTTGACACTTGTACAAACCTGTTACCAACATCCAGATCCTCACACTAGCATGCTCCCCCAGGTCTCAGGTGTCATTCTTTTTTTTTTTTTTTCCTTTTTTTTGTCTTTTTTCGTGTCCGGCAACGGACCGCAACCCTCAGTGTCGCGCCCGCACCGGACCGGGACTGGCAACGGGATCGCAACCCTTGCTGCGCCCACCCCTCGCTCAGCCAGTGAGCGGGAACTGGTCTGTATGTGGGATCCGAACCCTCGGCGGGAGCGCCGCCGCGCTCCCAAGTGGTGCACTTATCCAGTGCGCCACCGGGCCGGCCCCTCAGGTGTCATTCTTGAGGCTTTCCTGTCACCTACTGACCACCCTCCTGCCAGGCCCTTAAGGGACCCTGACCATCTTCCCTGCACGGCCTTTCCTGGGGCTTCTCACTTCATGTCTGCTGCATGCCCCTCCACCCCCACGCCAGACTTTTCCTTTGCTCTCCCTGCCTCCTCTCTCACCTCCCTTCTATCCACTCTACACAGGAGTCAGCATGATTCTTTAAAATCTTCAGTATGATCATGGCATTCTCCTGCTTAAAATCTGTCTGTGACTTTCTATTGTGCCTACAAAAAAGTCTCAGAAGATTTTAATATGGCCTGTGTCATATTTTTCTCTCTCTTTTTCATTTTTATTATGATAGTTGCAAAGTTTTAGGGGCTGGCTGGTTAGCTCAGTTGGCTAGAGCAAGATGCTGATAACGCCAAGGTCCAGGGTTCGATCCCTGTACTGGCCAGCCACCAAAAAATAATACTAGGACTATCGTTACAAAGTTTTTGCATTATCTGGGTGGGCAAGTTTTTGCAGAAGCCTGTTGGCACAGGTGTAGGTGTATTATTGCCACGGGCTGCTAAGAACAAAGTGGAACTGCGAGCAAGAGGGGAGGAGGGTAAATGTGTACCACCTGCAAAGAGTCCTGTTACTGTGACATTAATGTCTGGGGACAACTGGCCTATTCCTAGGTTTTAGCAATTTGTCAGTTATTTTGTTATTTTTATTCTTTGCCTTGCTTATGTAGCACTTACCTCCTAGCGCAGTCCCGTTGGAATATGTGAAACTGCTTTCCAGAGCAGCAGCTCTTGAAGTGGCTTCATGGTAGAATCATCCAGAAAAAATTTTTTTTTTCTTTTTTTGGCAGCTTGCTGGTATGGGGATCCGAACCCTTGACTTTGGTGTTCTTACACCACACACTAACCAACTGAGCTAACCTCCAGCTCTGCCTCCATAAATTTGGATGGGGGTATTAGGTACCTCTGGTGTGCACCTAAGCTTGAGAACCACTGTTGTGGAGCACTGTACAAATCTGAGATTCATATTTGTTTCAAGTTTTATTTATTTATGAAAAAACAGATGTCTTAAAGAAGATGCTTGAAGAAGATAGGACACAGTGAGAAAAAGTGTGGCTGAAGTTGACAGTCGTGGATGTCAGTCTCTGTCAACTCTAGCCGTGCTTTGTCTCATTATGTCCTGTGTTCTTCAAGTATCTTAAGGACAGTGAAAGTCCTGGGTTTTCTTTCCCTTGACTGAGTCTTTGCTGTTGAGTTTGAACAGTTTCTCCATGGTTGTATTTTTGCCATGTATGTCAGTCAAGGTGGGCTAATTGCTGTAGCAAACATCCCCCTGATCTCAGGGGCATAACATAGGCAATGGTTTATTTCCTGCACATGCCACAGTCCCTTCTGGGTAGATGAGGGACTCCGTGTGCTTCTTTGTTTTGGAGATGTGGGCATGCAGATGGCAAGTGGAAGATAGCCCAGAGGACCACGGAGGGGGATTTTAGCCACCAGGCATGGAAATGGCATATGTCCCTCTGGCTCAGTTGTTTAGTCGCCCTCTTATCCAATTGGCTGCAGGCTCTCCTTTCTACAAGGGAAGCTGAAATGTCTACTTCTGTGTCCAGCGGGTAAAGAAGTGGGTTTGGGAAACATAGCATTGCTTCTGACTCACCCGTTTCAACTAGTGATCTTATCCTTTTAGTTTTTGCTTTTGGTTTTGATAATTCACTCGCAACCAACTGCTAGGAAGACATATCTTTTTGAAAATAAGGAGAATTATTTAAATCTTTCCTTGGAACTTTCTCTCGTAGTTTCTCTGTCAGTCATTCAGTGCATGGTTGTTGAATGCCCCCCACATGCCGGACACTGAGCTGTGTTGGTCCCAGTTATGCAAAGAGGAATGCTGAGCCCTGTGCTAGGTAGATTCTGGTTGCTGATAAGGGAAACCCCAACCGAAGTTGGCTTAACTTACACCCACCTTTTATTATCTCAGACATCACGAGGCAGGGCAGTTTCAGGGCTGTCGATTCAGCCCCTCCCGCTGGGCTTGTCTCTGATATTCTTGGCTTTTGCTTTATGATCTCAAGATAGGTGTGGATTCTCAGGTATTTGTTGTCTGCAGCAAGCGGGACATTTCTGCCTGGTCTTTTTTGTGTGTATGCAGACCTTCCCAGGATCACTCAGCACATTTGACATTCCATCTCCCTGGCTGGAATCATAGCACAGGCTCATGTCCAGCCCTGTCCTTTGCAGAGGGATGGAATGACTGTGGTTGGCCTAGACCAGTGGAGATGCCCCAAGGGCCCACAGCACCCAGCCTGCCACAGATGGTGTCACTTTGAGTCATTTCCTCTTTTTTA